GGTAGGGGTCCCCATTAAGGGTCCCTCCTTTTCCCCTTTGAGTTTAGGGCTGTCCTATTAAAGGGCCTCGCGGGCTCCTGGGTTCAAGGGACGGTATATGTGTATTGCTTTCTGAAGTACTACAGTAGAAGCCCAAAAGTTGGAAACCCAAGAGCCTCAATCCTGAAGAGTAATGTATAGGGAATCCCAGCACTATTTGTCCTGAATCAGGTTTCCAACTTTTTGGGGTTTTCTGTATCCAAATGGGCGGTTCTCAACATTAGGGTCCCGTTTTGGGTCCTTAATGCAATACGGCACCTAATATTTAGGGTACCCCAAAAAAGAACCATAATTTTGACAACTACCCATATAGGTCCTTGAAGAACATTCGTAAATAGGATCCTCTTCGGCCCATTAGGGGAGTATAGAATCTGCCTAAACCCAGATTTCCTCGAGGATCCAAAAAGTAGATCCCTTAATGGGGGTTCCTATAAAGTACCCTTAATCGTATAGGGCCCCATATTAGGGGATCTACTTTTTAGACCCTTTCGGGGGTCTGGGAAGCCTACCTAGATGACATAAGGCCCCAGAATGCGCATACAACACCCCCGGAGACCCCTACAATAGCGGCTTTAATAATTAGAATATGGTTTTGGGGCTCACTATACTGTAACTATAATAAGGAGCCCCGAAAATAGTATAGGTAATTTATATGCCAGAAGCCATGGCCTGAATCAACAGACACCTGGACACAAAGCACCGCCGCTCCGTGTGGACTCGCCTCTAGAATCTAGAAGGGTACCAAAAGGGGTTCCTTCTAAGGGCTCTACAGGGGTTTAGAGCTTCGGAAAAGTCAGGGGTACCTTATTTTGGGATCTTTATAATAAGGGTCCTACTATTTAGGGTGCTGAATGTTAGAAGGCTCTAACCACCAAATGTAAAGAGGTTCCCTAAAAACTGAGCCAGAGACCCCAAACCCCCAAACTCCCCACACCTCAACCCAGACCCCCGGGAGGATCTAGAAAGTAGATCCCCTAATTTGGGGCCCTATACTACTAAGGGTACTTTATAGGAACCCCCATTAAGGGATCTACTTTTTGGATCCTCCCGGGGGTCTGGGAAAGCATTTATATTCCCGAACGCCCAAACCCCAAAACCCTGAGCACGAAACTCTCAGCCCTGAACCCAAGAATTGGAGAAATGAGGGTACGGTGGTCCTAAAGCCGCAATTCCGTAAAGAACCCTTGCAGGACCCTATCAAGGAATCATTACGGGAGCCATTCAAGAAATTCTTACACCCTAATTTAGGGGCCTTAATAATAGGAATATGGTGTTGTGGAACATTGTACTATACCCATAATGGGGAACCCGCCAAAATAATAGAGGTAATCATTTAGCGTCATGACACAGCGACTACGAATTCCAGGAACAGGTCCCCCATAACATTAAACCCCAAACCTCTCCAACCCAAAAACCCTTGAAGGAACCCTCAAAAGAACCCCGAACAGAACCCTAAATTCCTTAAAGGAGCCCTCAAAAGGACCCTATAAAATCCCAACAAGAATCCCCAAACCCTCAAAAGCAAGCCGCAAGAGGAACCCTACAAGGAGCCTTCAAACGAACCCTAAAACACGGAACCCTCAATCCCTTACAGGAACCCTGAAAAGAACCCGACAATCACGAAAGGAACCCTCAAAGAACCCTCCAGCCAGCTGAAAGAGTTCGAAAAGACCCTAAACCCTAGGGTTTGGGGTCGAGGGTTTCGGGTTTAGGGTTGAGTTTTAGGGTTTAGGGTAAAGGGTTCTTTAAAAAGGAAGGAAGGGCTCCTTCATTGCCCAAACCTCAAAAGTTCGAAAAACCCTGGTCTCCAGCATCATGCCAGTCAGCTTGCCCGCAAGCTCTGGCCGCAGCCTGGTAGTTTTGGGGGAGGGGTTTAGGGTTTAGGGGTTTAGGGTTTAGGCTTTTAGGGGTTTAGGGTTTAGGGGTTTAGGGGTTTAGTGTTTTAGGGGTTTAGGCTTTAGGGGTTTAGGGTTTAGGATGTCTTTGGGCAGGGCTAACTGGAGCGGCCTGAATCATCAGAATGGGGGTTCTTTCGAGGGCTCCTTTCAAAAGGCTGAAAAGGCGCTATGAGCGTCTATGAGTCTTGGGCTAGAAAGAAGAGCACGGGCATGAGTAGCAGCAGCAAGAGGAGCAGGATAAGAGGAGCGGCAGCGGCGGAGCATCAGCAGCAATGGCAGTAACAACGGCAGCAAGACTTGGGAGTTTCCGAACATAGGGGACCCTAATATAGTTGGATTCTTATTATAAGGACCCCAAAATAAGGCAGAACTAATTTTCGGAAGCTCCCATTTGCGAGTCAAGCATAGTTCAGAGAATCAGGCCTCAGTGATTCAGGGACTCAGGTCCTAGCGAAGGTCTTCAGGGTTTAGGGTTTAGGGTTTAGGATGCAGGGTTTAGGGTTTAGGGTTTAGGGATCAACAAACTGTAAACCCTAAAGTTACTAAACTCATAAACCCGAAATTGACTAACCTCTAAGCTACATCCAAACTAAAGTCTGAACCATAAACCCTACGCAGAGCCTGAGCCCTAAACTCTACACCCCGAAACCAGAAGCCCTACAACCCCTTCACTCTTTGACAATGCTGGGGTTCGTTTTTTGCGTGCTGCAACGATGCATGCGAGGTTTACGGCTGCCACGTCCCGGTGCGATCAGATCTTCTCGGTTGGCCGTCTGGCCACTTACTTGAAGCCTCATGTCTTTGTTACGAGAAGAACTATAAATTTATAAAGTACCTTACTGTTTGTTGAGTATGAGAAGTATAATCACAAGCTGATGACGACTTTATTGAGGAAAAAGCAGCTTCGCTGTTGATGATGACGGGGCCCGGTGATTTAAACTTGTGTTACTTTTCATGGTGCACCCTACGGATCGGTATGCTTTGCTAGCTTGCATCCCAGAGACTCCAATATCCCTTAATTAAGGAATATACCGTAAAGTATAGTAGGATCCCTCATATGATTTAAGGAATATTCCTTGATGAAGGGATATTGGAGTCTCTGGGATGTTTTTGACATTGATGTCGATACTGCATTGCGCATTGGTTCCATTATGTACCTGCTTCTTAACAATCAACTCCTTGTTCCTTCTCTTAGCTTGATATGACGACGACTTTCCTGCTGCCTTACTAAGGCTCTGTCTCAAATCTTTGCTCTCCATGCAGACTTGCTGTGACTTGTCCCGAAATGACCAGGCTATTTCGCTCCTCCTTTGATATTCCGTCAGACTAACCCTTAGTCTCACTGGCCCAAAACCCAAGGAAATCAAAGTTGAAACTTTCAGGATCGACTACCTTATAAGAACCCTAAACCCTAAACCCTAAACACCTAAGGACCCCTGAAAGGAACCCTAAAGATCCCTTATAGGAACCCTTAGAACCGCCAAAGTTGAAAAGTTAAGCTTACAGCCAATACGTAGTTCGGCAGCTCCCAGTACATCTCCGAAGAGCTGATCCCAAAGACTCCAATATCCCTTAATTAAGGAATCCTAGGGTTCCTTTAAAGGGATCTACAGGGTTTAGGGTTTAGGATTTGGGGGAGTCTAATATCCCTTAATTAAGGAATATACCTTAGATCATATAAGGGATCCTATTAAAGTCCTAAATTCCTGAATTGAGGGATATTGGAGTCCCTGGGATATTCCTTAAATCATATTAGGGATCCTATTAAAATTTGAGGTATTTTTCTTAATTGAGGGATACTGGAATCTCTGAGATGATGCTTCTGGAAGGGGTAAGCGTTCAAGAAAGGCGCTAGTTCAAGAGGCAACCGAAACTCGAGGCACGCACAGCTACACCCAAACTCTAAGCATTCTAGTGGCAGGCTGTAGCAGGCTGTAGCGCTGGTTCAAGAGGCAACCGAATCTTGAAGCACTTACAGCTACACCCAAACTCCAGGCTGTACCCGGTCGTGGACGAGTGGTGAAACGCCCTGACTGGTGACAGAGCTTTGTACACAAGCGTAGCTCGAGTTCGGAAGTTCACCTGGTAGATGCAAACTCAAACGTCCATCCGTCTAATATGGGGTAATATAGGGGCCTTAAAAATTGGGCTAGGCCTTGGTGGCCCATTATACTATACTTATAATAAGTAACCCCCAATTGAGTACAGGCCCCTATATTAGCTATCTTTCTAACCATCGCGTATGCATGGACTTTTGATGGCCTGCCTGCCTTCCTCGTCGGCGGGCTGGCTGCTACTACTTTCTTTCAGTCTATCCGCAGACGGGTAGTTGACATGCAAATACAGATACCGCACATACAGACAAGCATGTATACATACCCTTGCGTACACATGCAGGGCAGAATCGTAGATGCAGATTCTGCAGAACGGACAGACATGCTTACACAAAAGCACGTGTGATCGTATGTATGCGCAGATGTAGCGACCGACAGATCGGGAGACAGACAAATGAACATAGGCAGGTAGGTCGGTACTAAAAGGATCATGGGACTTATAGTTATAAGTCCCTTTATTGGGGTTGTAAGTAATTACAAGTATAGTTACCCCAATAATAACCCTAGTTACTAAGTCCCATGATCCTTTAAGTAGGTAGGTAGCCAGGTGGGTTGACAGGAAGACAGAAACAACGAGAGCACAGGGAAGAAAGAGGGAGAGGCTGACAGTCTGTCTGTGCGTTGCGTGCATGTAAGAATCTGAACGTAAAGTCATGCAGGCAGAACCTTGGGAACAGGAGCTACATGATAGCTGGAGGCATCGCCCAAGCAGTCACACGAGTACCTGTGAACGCACACCTGCGCGCTGCCCCTTCCAGCCGTAAACACATGCTGCGCAGATCACAGCAAGAAAAGTATGATGGAGGCCTTCGGCCCAAAACAATGCCGCGGTTTGAGGACGTCTTGGGCGGTTGACACTCTTCAATCGAAGGTCTGCAAGCCTCATCCGCAAGCCTTGAATAACGCAAATTAAAATAGCCCCAAGCCCTTTTAAAACCCTCTAAAACCGTCACTGCGTTCCGACAACCTCCACGGCCGGGTTTCCCCAGTTGCTCAAGCTTCCCGGATCCCAATGTAAGGGATCTTCAGATAGGAGCCGCCGGGCCCTTGCGGAGAAGCTTTTTCTGGTTTATGGTTTGAGGTTCCAGGGTGCAGTGTTAAAGGTTTAGGGCTAACGGCTTTTGCAGATATCCGTTGCGCAGTCTAGGGCTAACTAGTCTGTGCCTGCTTGATTCAACGTTCAGATGTTGAATGTAGCATGCGGGTTCCTTCTAATTCGATGTTCCGTTCTGAACGGCCTTGTTGCTTAGAATGCTGCTCGAATTCGACATTAAGGTCCTCTTTCCCATGCAATCGCGGTCCAATATACGGTTCGGAGCAAATCACGCCATTCAGAGGAGTCATCTTCACAATTGTTCTTTCATGCGCTGTATTGGCAACTATATACGTTCAGGGTCATCTAAATATATCTAATAGGATGAAGGGGTCTCCCGCTCAGGTACGAAACCACCCCTGTTAGAAATCCGACAAAAGCCGTACAGAAGCCCCACCAAATCCTTGTAAGCCGGTAACCCTAAAGGATCCTGACATCGTAAACCCTAAACCCCTAAAGGATCCTAAAATCGAAAACCCCTAAACCCTAAACCCTGCTAAACCCCTAGGATCCTGAAATCGTAAACCCTACCTACACCCCTACAGAATCCTAAAGCCCTAAACGCTAAATAAACCCCTCAAGGATCCTAAAACCCTAAACCCCTAAAGGAGCCTAAAATCGCAAACCCCCAAACCCTACACCCCTAAAGAATCCCAAAAACGCAAACCCCTAAACCATAAACCCCTAAAGAATCCTAAAACCCTGAACCCTACACCCCTAAAGAATCCTAAAATCGCAACCCCTAAACCTAAAGCCTTGAATCCTGGAGGCCGGGTGCCCCGAATCCCACAAAAACTTAGTTACGGCCCCCATACAGTAAGAGTCTATGATAGGGCTACTATGAAGGTCCTACTATATCCATATTTATGAATAATATTCAACTATCTAGGTCCTACTGTCCTACTATATCTATATTATGAATAGTATTCAACTATTGCTGAGTGGGGGCCGTACGTAATATAAAACCTATGATACCCCGAAGGGCGGCGGTTCATTGCCGACCCTAAGCCCCCAATAACCCCAACCCCTAAACCCCTAAACCTTGCGTGCATCTCGCCCGGATCGTCCGCAGTGACTGCTTGCATAAACCCCTAAACCCCAAAATCAAAACCCCTAAACCCTAAACCCCAAAACCCTAAACCCAAAACCCCAAAACCCTTCAACCCTAAGCCCTAAACCCTCTAAGGAACCCTTTATCAAGCCCTCTGAGATCCTTTTCGGGGTACTACTCAGGGACCCAGTCGTTTGGCGCGTAAGAGCCGGGCTGGGCCACGAGCAGCTGCCAACTCGGAGCATCGTTGGGGTCCTGCAGAACAAGTAGAAGTTGAGGGTTTAGGTTTAGGGTTTAAAGTTTTAGGGAGTCGAATCTCAGAGCTTTCAAGCTGTTTCAGGGTTTAGGTAGGGGACCCAAAAAAGCACCCCCCAAAAAAAAACACACACACACATGATTGTGAGTCGAAGTTGAGGGTTTTGTGGCTCCAGGGTTTCAGGATTTTGGGTTTTAGTGTGTTTTTAGGTATTGGTGTGGGTTTCGGGTTTTAGGCTTTAGGGTGCGGTGTAAATGTGTTGGGGTTTCTGGTCTCGGGCTTCTGTTTAGGATCTAGCGGTTGCAGGCTTTGGTTCAGGGTTCAAGTTAAGGGTTTAGGGAAGGCGCTTGCTTTGCGCCCAGACGGCAAAGGCTTTACTCTAGGGTTCTGGGGTATAAAATCACGGGTTTAGAAAGGTTTCGGGATGTAGTGTCTTGGGATGTAGGGTATTTGGGGCTAGTATACACAAGACCACGTAGTGCCTAAGTCCAGGACTCGCCCAAGGAGGCCAATAGGGCAGGCACGCTTAAGGACTCTTAAAGTCATATGCAGGGGAAGCAAGGGTTCAAGTTTAGGGCTACGGTTGGGGAAACCCTAAACCCTAAACCCTAAACCCTAAACCCTAAACCCTAAACCCTAAACCCTAAACTCTAAACCGTTCCGGCTCATGACTAGTGGGTTGAAACTTTTGGCTGGGCAAAACGTCGACCTGCCACAGCATTGGGCGTTAGTGAGAGCAACGACTGACACAACGTCTCCCACATAATATAGGGGCCTTAATAATTAGAATAGGGTTTTGGGGCCCATTATACGATAGTTATAATAAGGAACCCCCCAAAACAGTATAGGTAATTATTTTGGCCCCTATAGCAAAAAAGAAAAGTGGAAGCCCGAGCCCTAACCTTCGAAGAAGCGCAGTCAACAGGGAAGGCGGGGGGGGGGGTTTAATACTCCTTGGAGCCCTTCTACTGGCACAAGACTAAACGGGACCATAATCGAGAGCAGCCTCTTTGATGCAGCCCTGTAGAAAGGTTTTCGGGCTAGCGCAGCGACAAGAAATTGACAAAGGAGAGCGGTCCCAGGTGGCTCCAGCTCCAGAAGACAGGTACCTCGGCTGGACAGTTTTGGCACAGAGAGCCCACGACCCTCCGGAAGTGAGGAATATTCCTCCTCTCCCAGGGGCTCTCTCATCATGAGTTGAGGGAGTCAGAACTTCAAGTTAGGACCCTTTCTCGGCTTAATGTGCCCTGTCAGGGGCAAATGCAGGGTGCATCTTGCACTTGGCGCTTCATTTCCCGTATGAGACCCGTACAAGGAGAGCGGGGGCAGGTTCCAGTAGGGTCTTGGTCAAAGCTGAACCCCCTCAGCCGTAAAACAATCCTGATTTGAGGGCCTAGAGAATTGCATTTTGGGAATGCCCTCATAAGAACCAGATAAGCCTCACGGATCATGGAGAGTAATTAAGAAATCCATCATTAAACCCTGGAGCAGACTCAACCCCATCCCTGCAGCCTTACAGAAGGTTGGGCTAAGGCTAATGCACTAACCTGATAAAGCAAGCGCACATGCAAGGCTGCTGAACGGAGGCCTGAGCAAGTAGACGGGGGGTGTTATGCTGTTCAGACCTCCACACACATCGTTAGAAAACCTCTCCAGCCTCCTATAAAGCCCTCTACAGAACCCTAAAGCACTACTGCTTACTACACAAAACCGACACCTGTGAACTTATTCCGACCCGTCTGTTCATCTTGATTTCTGACGAAAGAACCTCTCTCCCTCCATCAGGACAATATGACCAGCACCTTCAAGGTCTGAATGGGTGGTTCTGCTGAAAGCCCAGTCGCAAGACGGGAACACAGTTCCTTAGAAGCAGTCCCTGACCGAGCTGAAACCGCCGCGTAGAAGCCTATAAACCCGATTCCACCCCAGAAGGCCCTCCGAAGGGCGATGGAACCCGACATAGACCTCATTCTTGTGAAACCTACCTTATGGCCACTTGAGGCAAGTACTTTGAAGGACGACCAGACGGAAGGGCAAAGGTGCAAGCGCCGAAATCGCTACACCGTAAACCACAGGGATAGAAGCAGTGAAGCAGGGATTAGTTCCAATACTTATGAAGAGTACCGAAGAGCCTTCAAGTATGCCTCCCTAAACCCTAAACTCAGAGACCCAAACCTTGAGGCCCTAGACTCCAAACCCACTTACCAAAATCGCTAAATCCTACGTAGACCCCCCCAAACTCGACACCCTAATACCCCTAAACCACTTCTGGGGAGCCCGGCTCTTCGAAATCCACTGTGGAGTCCACCGTGCCGGTGGGGATCAAGTAGCAGATGCCCCGGAAGAGGGTCGCACCCGTCTGGGGCGTCGGTTGGTTCTAGGTGGGGTTTAGGGTCTTGGGTACCACGGATTAAAGTTCGACATCTCTGCCAACATCCCTACCAGCAGCTGCGCCCTCTTCACGATCATCATCATCATTATCTGCATCATCGCCAAGATGCTGAACTTCGGGGTGCAAGCACCCTAAACCCTAAACCCTAAACCCGCGTCTTCGAGGTTCCGGCGTTTTTTGAGTTTTCGTGGCCTTCGGGTTTAGGGCTGTCGGTCTTGGCCCGACAGTGATTTGAGATAAAGGGCTTAGGGGTTTAGGGGTTTAGGGGTTTGTGAAGCGGTCGTCGGACGAAGGGGTTTAGGGGTTTAGGGTTTAGGGGTTTAGGGTAAGGGCTGAACTCGCTCAGAATCCCAGATGCCTCACATTCGAAGCAGTTGTACAGCGAGTTGCAGTCGATGCAGTGCCTGGCTCAGGCAACTCTAGAGACTCCAAAGGTTACTCGAAGCCCTTCCTCAGTCTTCATGCTCGTACTTCAAACAATCTCGGGGATGAGCTACTCAGGTTATCGCGCGATGGCGTGACATGGGTTCAAGGATTTCGGGTCTCGGGTGAACACGGGTGGCTGCATCGCGCTGCAGCACTTGCGAGCGATAAGCAAGTTCTCTTCGTGGTTTGGAGTGCTGCGCGCAACGTTGCGAACGAAGGACCTATCTAAGGCTTAGTAACCTTTCTGACGACATTGGAGGGCAGGAGAATTTTTCAGCAACTCACGCGAAGCTGTCATTTCCCAGATGACGTGACGGAAATCATCTTGCGCACGGGTGATGTTGCTTAAAAGCAAATCAGAATGAACTGTCCGGAGTTTCGCAATGACTGTATTGTCTCATTGGCCCAAAACCCAAGGAAATAAAACATGAATCTTTCAGAATCGACTACAACCAAATAAGTTGTGGTCGCTGCAATTCGAGTAGTATAGGGGCCTAATCATCAGATCAGGGGTTCTGGGCGCGTCACAGTACACTTCTAAGGGTTGGTGTGGGGAGGGGCAGCGGTTGATGATATAAACCCTGCAATTACCCATAATAAGGATCCTCATACCCGAATCCTAAGACTCCGAAAGATGAAAAATTATACCCCACCCCCCGAAGCATCGCCGGCGCACTTTCCGCATTGGATGCATCTCCTTAGTGCTCTAGAAGGATGCGGTAGAACATGGGAGCTCAACGCATGAAGGTTGGGGTCCCCTACAGCCCTGAACTCCAAACCCCTACAGCCTGAACCCAACACTAAAGTTAAGACATTACTGTAATTAAGTAGGTACAGACAAATGCATGCACAACAGACGTCAGCCTCGAGAAGCCAAAAGCCTGAACCCGAAACTGCCCCAAGCCCTAGAAGGATGAGCCCCTAAACCCTAAACCCCCAAACTGCTCTAAGCCCTAAACCCCAAAAAACCCCTAAACTCTAAGCCCTAAACCCCTAAACTGCCCCAAGCCCTAGAAGGGCCGGCCCCTAAACCCTAAACCCTAAACCCCCAAACTGCCCTAAGGCCGAGAAGGGTGAGCAAAATTTAAGGGCTTAGAGTGCTCCAGGCCCACCCCAGATAATGAAGGGGGCCTTAACAATTACCTATTTTGGGGGCTTCCTTATTATAATTATAGTATAAAGGGCCCCCAAACCCTGTTCTAATTATTAAGGCCTTTGGGGGGTAAGGGGCCCCAAAACCCTAGTCTAATCATAAGGGGCCAAAAAAAGCCCTATTCTAATTATGAAGGCCCCGAAGGTAGGCCCCTCAACCCCAGATAGGAAGCCCCATCGTTGCTGACTCCGAGGTTGAGGCTTCACAGTTGGGGTTTTGGGGCAGCTATCCTGCAAAAACAGGCAACCCCTAAACCCTGAACCCTAAACCCTGAAACCTATGCTAAACCCTAACCCTAAACCCTGCACCCTAAACCCTAAACCCTAAAACCTAAAACCTGAACCCTAAACTCTATTACACTCTTTAAAAGCAAACAGGGCGTGGCTCTTCGGCTGTCTGTTTTTGTTCTAAGCCCCTAGACCCTAAAGCCCCAAAAACCCTAAACCCCAAAGCCCTGCAAAGCCTCAACCCCTGACTCAAAACCACCACCCACGCAGACCCCCGGGAGGATCTAGAAAGTAGATCCCCTAAAGAGGGGGCCCTATGCTACCAAGGGTACTTTCTAGGAACCCCCATTAAGGGATCTACCCTAAACCCTAAAACCCTCTAGATCCCTTAAAGGGACCCTTAAAGGAACTCTTAAAAGGAACCCCCCATTGAGGGATCTACTTTTCGGATCCTCCAAAGGGGGTCTGGGCAATGGAGAGCCGAGCTTCAGGTCGTTCGGCGAATCGCGGAAGAAGCCCTTCCGACAGTCCTGCATGCACTCACCTGCCAGGGGTTTTGGGGTTTTGGGGTTTCAGGGTCTTAGGGTTTAGGGTTCACCTGCCAGGGGTTTTGGGGTTTCAGGGTCTTAGGGTTTAGGGTTTAGGCTTCACCTGCCAGGGGTTTTGGGGTTTTGGGGTCTGGGGTCTTAGGGTTTAGGGCTCACCTGTCAGGGGTTTGGGAGTTTTGGGGTTTCAGGGTCTGGCTATCCTGAATCAAGCCTAAAGTAGGGTTTGGGGTTTAGGGCTGCCAAGGCTACGGATTTGGGGGTCTAGGGTCTGGCTACCCTGAATCAAGGGTTTAAGGCTTGTCTATACTGAACTTAGAACCCTAGCAAAAATTTTAAATTTAGCTGCTTCTTAGGGATTATAATAACCAAAAATTAAAAATTATTTCTAAGTGCCCCTAAGTTGTAGGGTTTGGGGTTTAGGGCTGCCAGGGCTACGGACTTAAGACTGGCGACAACAAGAGCAGCAACAACAAAACTGGTACAACGCGACTAGATGCAACTGCTGTGATAGCTCATGAGGATGACCATCGCAAGCACGGCCAGCTGCACCAACAGCATCAGCAGCGGGAGTGTTAGTGCTGGTGGTGGGTGCCGTGGTAGCAGTCGCAGTCGTTGTCGTCGTTGCCGCCCGCGTCGTCGTACCATCAGGTAGTTGGTATGAGGCAGTGCGCACTAGGCCGCGGGTAACTATTCTTTATGGAGGATCTCACAACCTCTTCCGTTATAGTCGCTTTTTACTACTACTGTAGTGAACCTAAACCCTATTCGCCGATCCCAAAGATGGACTCTGTGGCATGGAACTCACACAAAAAACTTTCTGGATACTGATGTAAACAAGAAGCAGAACACACCCAAGTGATGCGATGTAGAACAACGATGGTACCTCTAAAACTTGATATCTAAGAACATGGGTGAGGGCTTTAGGAATAAGCTTAAGGCCTGAAACCCCAGCCCCAAACCGAGGGATTGCAACCCAACGCCTGTCCGATCCAAGTTTCAGGAAGACTGGGATCCCGCCTGTGTTGGTGTTGGCATCCAGTATCCGCAGGGTGTAGCCAGAGTAGCAGCTTGAGCACGATATTCGCGTCCCAGCGATGCACTCCCTGCAACGCAGCTGTGTGAATACTCGCAAGATTCTTACGCCATGGTGCCTGTAAAACCACGGATAAACCTCAAAGAAAGAAAGTTTAGGCCCCAAGAAACACAACAAATGGGACCCTCCCATCTCAAATGCGAAACTTGTTCAATTGTCGTTGTTGAACTCTGGCCACTAGTTGTGCGTCAGTTGAGCGTTTAGGGGCTTCGGGTGTCGTTTAGGGTTTAGGGGTTTAGGGTTGGCGGCTGCGAGTTACGGGAGGCGTGCTATGCTGTTTATGCAGGGGAGCTCAGAAACAGCAAGTGAGCATCAGAGAGTCAGACACTGGCATTTAAAGGTCCGACACCCCCCAACACCAAAACTGAAAGCCGAAACCTGCAAACTTTAATCTCAAAGCCGAAGGGTTGTGACCGCCAGAGAAGCCGCAGTTCTGCAGCGAGAGACACATCGAGGTATGTCTTCCTTTTCCCCACGACCGCCGATTTGATGTTTTTTCGGTTTGCTGCACGACTGTCGAATTCTTCTGGTTGCTGCGCAAGCGCCCCAAACCTCTCGCTGCATGTGCTTTGTTGCAGGACCGAGTGATCTTCGCAACGGACATGAACGCACAAAAGGACAACAACTAACAACTATTGCACCGCATGGATTCGGAACAAGCCGGCGGCTGAACAAACACAAGGGCAACGACGACGACAGTGACAACAAACGGAAAAACCCTTCCACTTTGTAAACAGCCTGAATCCGACAAGCTTTGCGGAGTCGGAACACTCGCCCCAAAAACCTCAAGCCGAAGGAAGTACCGTGAAAACCCAAAGCTCATATGCTACATAGCAGCCCCGAAATCCAGATAATAGCCTTGCCCCAATTCCTAGTACGTCATCAACAGCTTGGATGCTTGCGCAAATCATACTGGCAATCATGTAGTCTCCTGCATTGAACCCTCAGCCCCAAACTGTAAAGCCCCATATCAAAACCCTACAGAAACCCCCACAACCTGACAAGCTCCCCAGTCGGCGAGGGCCTGCAGTAAGCGTCGCACTCGTCACACCGCGTGCGGTCGTTGGCCGGGGCGTATCGCCCGCGATTGCACTCCCTGACACCTTCGGGTTTAGGGTTTACTTCCTGACACCTTGAGCGAGTGAGGACTAGGGTTGAGCGTTTAGGGGTTTAGAGCTTCGTGGTCTAGGTTTTAAACGATAACATTATCAGTCAGAGTTAAGTTAAGGTGGGCCCCTCACCCCATCGAGAGCAGTCGTCAATGAGATCCTCATAGACCCAACAGCTCGAAACATCAGATGCCCCAAACGGGTTCATTCGATTCAATGGGACAACAGCGCGTGGCTGCTTCTTGGAAAGGGTCCCCCCCACTGAATGGAGACCTTGAAAAGGCATGTCCAAACTAATATGATGATATTTCCCAGAACAAGACAAGGCCTTCAGTTTTCAAGTGACGCATCACCCTCTGGAAGATGGGAAGCTTCCCGACATTGCTGCCGAACTTGCCTAGCGTGCCCTTCTCCCAGCACTCGCGATCAGCATGGGTTTGCAGTACTCCGCGATGAAACTGCTGACATTCACGGGTTTGGACTTTGCGAGCGGCTCATTCAGCAGCTGGAGCGCTGCCATCGCGTACTCCTCGTTCAACCTCTGGCCGTTGTCACTGCCGACGAAGTGCACGTTCCCGCACACATAGCCATGGGGCCACCCTAAACCCTAAACCCCTAAACCCAATAGGGCTTCTCACGCAAGAAACCCATGATGGCGGCGTTGCTTGAGAAGGGAGCCTTCGCCATGTTGATCCATCTCACCACTGTCTGCAAATTAGGGTCCCTGTTTGGGTCCTTATTATAATACGGCACCTTATTTAGGGTACCCAAAAAGGGACCATAATTTTGACAACTACCCGTATAGAAACCCTATACAAACCCTGAAGCCCTGCTCCGGTTTGCCCTGGCTCCGGTTTGCAGGAACTCTGAGCCCTGAACAGAAAGTCCTGAGATGATGCGCCCCTCCTCCGCCCCCCCCCCCCCCACAAACACACGCAAGAACGAAACAAACAACCCTAAACCCGACTGGAGCCCTCCCCGCCCCTGTAAGCAAAAAAACTCGCACAGACACCCAAAGGCAGCTGTTTCTGGGATATTGAAATCTTGAGGCGCGAGCAGAGGCCACGGAAGTCGAAGGTATATCCGGGTGAGCAGACCTGCCACGCCAGCAACGGATTTAGGCTTCAGGGGTTGTTTTCTGGGGTTCCTTTCAGTGGTTCCTTCTGAAGGTGTCCTGGCTACGGAGTCCAGAGGGCAAAAGGGGTTTCTTCTTCAGGGTTAACTTTTTGAGGGTTCCTTTTGCAGCGTTCGTTTGGTTGGGGGCTTAGGGTTGAGGACATGCCGTTTGAGGTTAAGTCCTAGACCGTAGAGCCTAACCCCATACTCTAGGGTTTAGGGGGTGCCGTACCCCTCCCCTGTTCAACCTTCTACAGCATTTGTTATCGCATAATTGCGCAAAACATCTGACAAATCCCTGCGAAACCTATGCAATTGCATAAAACACCCTTCAAGACCCACCGGAAAATCCCGGAAGACGCTTTAAAACAACGCGGACTCTGGTCTCTCCAGCCGCCTGGCACTCATGGGCAAGTCCGCCCACACAGACATCGCAGTTCGGAGGGCACCTCAGGCAAGGTTGTCGTTCTTTCGGGAATAGCCTCAGGGCAAATCAAACTCGGCGGCCAGAAACTTTAGCTTTACAATTCGTTCTTCATATTGAAAAGACATAGGCATAGTATATCCAAAAGCTTCCTGTTTTTGCCGTGATCTCTGCTGGCGGTTCTCTAAACTTGGGTCCTGTTGTAGGATCCCTCAACCTTCCAAGGACCCTGACTGGGGCAAGCTCCAAACCCCGAATCTGCAAGTAAAAGCCTCGACCCCCAAACCCAAAACCTCAAACCCAAATCGCACAACACTAGATCCAAACATCAGCCCCAAATCCAAACCCCAACCCCAAACCCTTAATCCAAGCCTCCAAGCCACGACCGTAAATCCAAACTTCTATGCCATACAGCCGCCCTAAATCTAACAGCCAACGCCGTTGTTCCAAACCTCCAACAACACCTCTCAACTCAAGCCTCAAAGTTAAAATACTGAAACCGAACCTCAAAGCCAAAGCCCTGCACCTGAGCTCGAAAGCCTAAGCCGCGGCCAGTCATTGAGGCCGGCACTCAAGGCAGTCGTATCCATACCGGTACCTTGTAGGGTTTAGGGCTTAGGTCCAGAATCGGCTTTGATGTCGCAGGAAACTTCGTTGGATTCAGGTGTCTTTTCGAAGGGTGTAAGGTTTAGAGACGTAGAGCGCTGGCCAAGCGAGTCGTAGAGGTTTGGGGTTTGGAGGCTTGGGTTCCGGACTTAAGATTCTACTTGGAGGATCATGGGACTTAGTCGCTATAGTTATAAGTCCCCTAATTGGGGTTTTAAGTAATTATAAGTATAGTTACCCCAATAATAACCCGAGTTACTAAGTCCCATGATCCTTTAAGCACAGCTCCCTCCTCTACCCCCACATGCCGCAAGCACCAACACGACACAGCCCGCTCTGTATGCATACCCGAAAAAAATCATCGACCTTTTAGACCTTTTTCGACTCGAATCCTTGCACTAACAACATGCCTAGCTGTTGATGAAGACCGTGTGGAACCCATCTCAAAACATACCACAAGGATCCCGACGGCCCTCTTCGCGCCCAAGATGATGTAGAATCGACCGAAGCTCCCCATAACCCCTAAACCGCAAACTCTAAAACCCCAAAGCCCAAACCCTCTGTACCCTAAAACCCTTGTAGAATCCTTAAAGGAACCCTTAAAGGGACCCTTAAAGGAACCCTTTAAACCCTAAAGCCCTCTTTGACCCCCCCCCAAGAGGGACCGAGGCCCCCGGCTGCCCGGCGGGGCAAGGCAGGAAGCAGCCGTCAACCCAAAGGTCGAAGCCGGGATTGCCTTTGGGCTTAGGCTTCCTTTTTGAAGGGTTCCTTTCAGGGTGCGTCATCTAGGGTTTAGGGTTAGGGTTTATGGGTTTAGGGGTTTAGGGATTTCGGGGTTTAGGGTTTTTAGGGGTTCAGGGGTTCAGGGGTTCAGGGGTTTAGGGGTTTAGGGGTTTAGGGGTTTAAGGGTTTAGAGTTTAGAGTTCGGAGCCTGAATAATCAGAAGAGGGTTTTGGGCCCATTATACTATAATTGTAACAAGGAACCCTCAAACAAGTATAAGTATTAATTTAGGCACCTTTTTTAAAGCCTAAACCCTGAAGTTTAGGGTCTTCGGAATTCTTCCCTAAACCCCCAAACCCTGGGGTTCAGGGTTTTAGGGTTTGGGGGTTTCTTTGAGTAAGTTGAGGTGACCTTTTCCGTCTGGCAAGCCTTGCTCAGAACTCGACTACAGGCATTCTTGCCTTTGAGTTTGGGGTTTGGGAGTTTCGTTTCACGGTTTAGGGCTTTGGGTTTGGGGTTTCGGGAATTGGGTTTTCGGGATTCCAGGTTGTAATATAGCAGCCTGATTAAGAAACCTTGGGTCTTGGCGGTTTCTTAATCAGGTTCCTACATCAGTCTTCTAGTGCCTTACATACGCTCCAAGCTTTAATGAGATCTTCGTTGTCAGAACCCCATATCGATGGAAGACTGTCGCATCCAACCAACGAGCCTGCAAAGCCACGCATGCCCCTCTGAAAACGTCTAAACTCCGTCTGAGTGCGCCACACTCCAGACAGTGCCATGACAAGTCGAAGTCGAACAAATGGCATCTGATGGGCGGTTGGGGTTCAGGGCTCGTAGCCATAGCTATTGTGGGTTGTTGGACTGTGCAGCGGTTCTGTTCAATGCCATCGGGGTAATAGACGTTTACTGCGGTCGCAGCAGGGTCGGCTCAAGACATAATGGCGCGACTGTGCATGTTTATAGAAACTTGGATGTTCAGAACGACGATGTTCACTGTTCAACGACAGCAAAAACTTCTCTTGACTACAACCAGATTTGCACATCTTGCCAAGATCGGCCCACACACTGTTGGCGCCCAGAACAGGGAATACCTGAAAAGAAACCACAACCAACACGAATTGCAAACACACATTCTGCAATAACTTTGCCGTACACCTGGCTTCTTATCATGGCTTCAGGAATACTCCTTAACCGGGAAGTATTAGCAGCAAGTGGATAGGTTGCGAACACACATGAACACGGTCTATGCGGATCTTGTTCAAATCCAGCAAGCGGCTCTGCAAAACGTGCTTGAATGTCACCAGCTGGACAATGGAGTCGCGGCCCATCGTGTCTGCCAGCTCTTCTCGGCGCACGGTGAGCTCAAGATGGGGGTGGCGGGACCACCCACTCGGGCAAATAACCGCCCTGGGAGCAGGCATTTCCGTTTGCATTCACTTTGATGCCCCAGGCCGCGCACTCTTCGATCTGGACGAGCTCCGAGAGGCGAAACGTTCTGGTTATGCGGGAAATGACAGCCACGTGGCAGACTCTGTAGTCATGAATAGGCTGTTACAAGACTTAAAACAGCTTGAAAAAACAACGGGAATCGAACTATTTGATACAAGACATGGAATACCCGACAACCATGCGCCACACGCTGTTCTTTTTGATCCAGCAACTACCCAACACCTCGATGGTAGTAAGATGCAACAACGATTTAATGAGCTTCGGCTGCACAAAGGGTGTTTTTCAATTTTCAACCTTTGCAAACCAGACAGGCCTTCAGGCTCCCCAGAGATTTTATAGCTGGCAACACCCAGCCCCGAAGTCCGAAGCCCAACGCGTTGTAAATCTGGAATCGCGACCCAAAACCCAAGAACTTGGAGACCCTTGAGAAACAACCGAGGACGACGCTTGCTGCACTCCGCGTGACCTTTTCCGTTTAGTTCAACAGTTGGGGTTTTTGGGCCGCGTTTCAAGGCCAAGGTTTGGAGGCACTCAATCGGGGATTATCGTGATAGACATCGACAGGATCAAACTTGATTATAGCCATGTTGAATGCATTTTTCCAATTTTATATGTATGAAAACCGAACTTCTAATCAACTTGGCTAACTAGTGCCCATGAGCCTGCCAGCTTGTGCAGGCTTGGTTAAAGTTGTTCGGGTTTCGGTTCTATGGTTTAGGGTTTCCTACCTGTTTGCCAATTGAGGCTTGCATTGGGCTGCGAATCCAGAACGCACCTTGCAGCACGTCATAACCCCGACTGAATCTCTCCGAACCACCAAGCCTCAAATCCCTCAATTGTGATGGAATTCGGATAGAAGGTCTATTGGCCCTCGAACTTTGTATTTCTCTTGCAAGACTCGCATTTCGGGTGATGAAAAGCTCTGAAATGTGAATAAGAGCAGAACTCAAATCTCGTGACAAAGCCTGAGTAGTGTCCAGTCGAAGCCTCTTTGAACAAACCTTGCGCTCTCCCCTATCGCACTACATCGCTGAATGTGCAGAAACTATAAACCCTACCTAAACATGTACTTACACCAAACTTTAACCCCCCAAACCCAAACCCTCCTTTACACACATCTATTTACCGAGGACTGCGCACTGTTCAATCTGCGCAGTGGCGAGGAGGGCACCAGATCTACCTTCCGGCGCTTCTTTTCGTCGGGCTTAGGATTCAAGGGCCCCCGAAAAACCCTTCAATAGAGGAACAAGGGGTATTTGGGGGGTTCCCGTAAATTTAGATTTCGGGGGTTTCACGGTTTGTCTATGGTCTTTGGGGTTTGGGGCGGGTTTAAGGCAAGCATTGAATGTGGTTTTTGATTAGGGTGAGCCTATGCGCACATGGCTTCTTCTAGCGGGCCCCTGTACGCCAAAACTTCACCCTCCAGCGTAGTTCCTAGTTTAAAATGGAAATAACCAGAAAACAGATGAGGGTCTGGTCAAGCCCCAAAAGCCCTGTCGGCCGGAGCACGGGCTTTACATGGAGGCCTGCCTTAATGCACTCGGCTGCCTCAATCACGGCAGGAATTGTCGGTCGCCCCACACAACCCTCCACAATCCCGCGAACAAAAAAAACTCTCGAGAATCGCTTTTGACGAGAGACCCTTTTCGTGCTTGCGAACTGACGATAGGAACATGCACCATCTATGGAGTTTTGGGAAAGACTGGTGGCCGGTAAGCCCTTGTTTAATTAACCAAGGAAGCATGCAGCTCAGCTGTGCCTAGCGGGTGCAAAGAACCTCGGGCCCTGGGTGTTGTATGCAACCCAACTTGAGTGCTCTTACAAACCTTCTTGCTTGAGAACAGGATCTGTCCCGAAGCTTTCGACCTGAAAGCTTCATGGCAACTTTTTCCTAAGCCCTAAACCTCCAGTAGTACCTTAAGGTCCGCCATCGTAAAGCCATCCACGGAATTTCGTAAACCTGAATCTCTGGCCCCTGCGGCCCGAAGTATCCTCCAACCCTGCCCTCACCGAGCGCTCGCTGGTCCACCATGGCATACACCTGGAAACGCAAAGCGGCATGAGCAAACACGACCGGCAGTTACAGGTACAGGCGCACGCAATGTTGGCAGCTCCAACATAGCACTCGGTATGCTGGCCCTTCGAACATATGATCCAACTCCTCGCGGCATGCAGTGCGCAGCCAGCTCAAGAAGCAAGTGGATGGGCGAAAGAGGGACAGCGGGCAGCACCCCGCAAGCATTCCAAACACGATAGAAGTTCTGGGCATTCAGCAGCGTGCATGGTTCAACGTGCAAGAGCCTGGACTGAGAAAATGACAACATGCCGTCAGCCAAATCTTCACCGGTACCAAGACCAAGCTCAAGGTTCTTCGCCGGACGGACACGCACCGTGCCCGCCATAAGACCACTCGTCACCGTGACATCCGCAAATGGTTTCCAATGTCGTTGCTGCTGAATTTCAAAGCTTCAGCAGGCTCTCGTCTCCAAGGCCAAGTGGAAAGGCAACGGCAAGAAGACGGAGAGCAGGTACACCTGCATGCACACCTGCTACATCAGGGGTGCCAGGCAGGCATCCACAAATCGCGAGATTCGCCTCCTCGAGTCGTGGTGCTTCCGGCCACGACAACACAAGTTGCGCAATGTTGCACACCAGGCTTGGCCGAGAGCAGCGATCAGGTGTAGGCTTATGGAGTTTGGGCTTAGAGTAGGCATGAGGGTTTAGGCTTTAGGATTCAGGGTCAGGGGTGAAGGTTTAGGTAGGGTTTAGGTGCGAGGGTTTAGCGGTTAGGGTTCAGGCGCAAGCCCCAATGCCCTGAAGGCCTGAATCAACATAACCCTGTAAGCCATACAAACCCTTTAGCCTCTACACACCAATCATGCTTCTGCAGCAACCCATGGTGGATATTGGTGAGATTTCGACCACAAGGCACTGAATGTCCCAAAGCAGGTCTGTCCATGCTAGAGGTTTCGGGAATAGGGTCTTGACTAGCATAGGCGCTTGAATACTTGGAACAGGGTTTTGAGGTATACAACAATATAATCGTATGAAGTAGCCGTAACCTAAACCCTAAACCCTAAACCCTAAACCCTACGGATCTAGGCTTCTACATCTCCCTCGTCCTGAGTCATGTCGGGCTCAGAGTTTAGAGTTCGGGAGGGAACCCGCAGGCCCTACTTGGAGGCTCATGGGACTTAGTAAGGGTTCCTTAGTAAGGGCTCCTTTAAAGGGATCTGTAGGATTCCTAAAAGGGATCTGAGGGGTTTAGGGTTTAGGGTCTACATAAAGGCTCATGGGACTTAGTAAGTAAGGTTATAAGTAGGTTATACTTAGGATAACCCCACTTAGGGGACTTATAACCCCACTTATAACCTACTTACTAAGTCCCATGATCCTCCAAGTACACTGCCAAATCCTGGCCTCCTAGCTCCTAACCTCGAAACTATCGATGGAGGTATGGGTAGTTCTCTAAATTAGGATCCCGTTTTCAGTCCCCAAAATAGTACGGCACCCTGATAAGAAGGACCCTAAAACGTACTCTAGCAATGATTGTTGGAAGACCACCCCGAACCGCCGCCCCTCGGAAACAAACAACAAAGTGATCAACCGCAGACCCTGAAACCCAAACCGCACAGCTCCCGAAGACAATCCACAACAAACCAGCGTATAGGAACTCCTCGAATTCCCATGGGCTTAGGGTTGACTGAGAGTTCCCAAAACCTGCTTGATATGGGGTTTCAGTACTTGGAATAGGGGTTTGGGGTATCTAATACTATGAATATGGACATGAAACCTTTTCAGAGTTCTGTGTTACTTCGGGTCCTCCAAGCTCTCTTTCTTTTCAGCCGCAAGCCCAATGTAAAAGACCTACCTGCTGCCACTGCTCAAACGACCACCACTACGACAATCACTGCGCCACTGACGACAACAGCCTTCCACCCCCTAATGCAGGGGCCTTAATAATTATTTATGGGGTTCCTTATTATATATACATATATAAAATATGTGTATATTCATAGTGAAGAACATACCCCAACACCGATTCTAATTGTTTAAGGCCCCTATATTAAACCCTAAACCCAGAACCCTAAACCCACCTCTGGGCCACGACGGGCGGCCGTCCTCTTTGGACAGCCAGTGCTTCGGCGTCTTCGGGATTGAGGGTTTCGGCGTTTAGGGGATAAGATGTGGGGTTCAGGGGTTTGGGGCTTCAGGGCTTAGGGTTTAGGGGTTTAGGGGTTTAGGGTTTAGGTGTTTAGGGGTTAAGATTTGGGGTTCAGGGGTTGCGGGGGGGTTTAGGGCTTTAGGGGTTTTGGGGTTTAGGTTTAGGGCTTGTAGGACAGGCGCACTTTTCTGGAGGAAGGCAACAGCCAGGCTTCAAATCTGTCCGGGAAACACCATGTAACTTCAAAGAACACGCGCAAAGAAATTGTAAGCCTCCTATTGGAGAATTGAGCCGATATAAAGTAGGATTTTCCGCTTGAATATCCCAAGAAATTACCCAACACAAAGACTCACCAACACTCTAACTGAGCCCGGTAGGCAACGAACTCCAGAAGTGAATCTTGCTCCCTGAAGTTCAAGAGGAGGGGCTACAAGCACAGACACAACTGAACAGCTGTGCCAAGGACTGTGGAGCAAGCTTCAGCGGTCAGCCCGAAACCCTTAAACTCCAAACGGATTAGGATTCAGTTCCCCGGGCTCAAAACATGTAATGAACGGCTTACTTCTCCGAGAAGCCTGTTTTAAGGGGTAAATCGAGACTTACCGAACATGGCCGGAATCCTGCACCCTAAACCTTAACCGTCTACATGTTGGCCATGGCTGGGAATAAAGTTTCAGGGTACGTATATTACTACTATTTCCTTAAGAACCCCCCAGAAATAAAAAATATATTCCTTATAGGGATAATATAGGGATTATCATTTTTTATTTTTTGGGTGGTTCTTAAGCAAATAGTATATTATAGCATGATTCTAGCAAGGAGCCCTGGGAAGAAGTTGGTATTCATTCCGGCTTCTATGTTAAACCTGAACCCTAGACTCAAAGGTTAGATACTGCAGCCGGCCCTATACCCTAATTCCTTAAACCATGCACTGTGGAGTTCTGTGTGTCTGGGGTTCTCTGAAGACCTCAAGAAACCGGACCCAACCCCCAGACACCCTGCGTAGCCTCGAACTGCAGATCTTGCGGCACGCTGAGCAGCAGCACTTGCAGAACCTGAGCAGTGTTGGCATTCCGAGTGGCTTTGAGTACTTCAGGGATTCCTTGGAGGATTTCTGTAAGAATCGAGTTCTGCCCATGCTCTCTGATTTGCAAGGGTTCGACAGTCTGCAAGTAAACCGAGGAAAAGATTTATGCAGGGTTTTGGCATGCATGAAGACAAACTAAGCAACTTCACTTGGTTGCTGTGCCATACCCTGTCTGTTAATACCGAAACACTAAACCCTGAACCCTCAATTATTGTCTGCGATTCTCCCTCCAGACTTTTCCGAAGCCTCGTTCCTCTCGGTTGCGTGACGATGTCGCAGGGCTGTCTTTTTCAGGAAACCCTCAAGCCTCAACCTTACACCCGCAAGCCCTAAACCCCAAAAGGTCACTTCACCAAACCCTAAACCCTGAACAGTTCTCTTTTTGATGAAAGAGGGACAGGGCCAATTTACCGAAGCTCTTCAATCGGAACCCCGCGGATGAGGTAGCTTCACCGATCTGTCTACTACTTACTGGGGCCTCGATACGGGGTTCGGCTTTAGGGTTTAGGGGTCAATATGGGAGTTTCCGAAGATGGGGTGCGCGTTTCGGGTTTGAAGGGGAGTATGCTGATTTGTGGGAAGTCTAGCAGACAATTCCTCGATTCCACTGGAAGTTGAGCAGACAACCTGTGTCTTGGTGATCTCCGAAATCAAGCAGAACTTCATTAGGACACAACACCAAGACTAAACCGAGGTAAACATCCTCGATGCTCTGATGGCTCAGCGATCTTAGATTCTAGCCGTGAGCCAAACGAAGTTGACTTCTGGAAACCCAAATGCCAGGACCCCGGCGACAGATGCAGGTAGCCGCTGCCAGGCACCCAAGGCCATGATTTCAGCAACCGGGATTGGACGACAGAAGGGGCTTGTAAGATAGTTGGGGCTCAGAATGGGGCCGGGATGTTGCTGACACGACTAAGGGGGGGCACGGTTGGGAGCGCATTATGCCGGAACTTTTGAAGTGCCCCCCCCCTCACCCGCAAGCCGGGACCTCGTAATACTCGTCATGGAGGCGGCACGAAAGCCCTACGCTGGGTCCCTAGGGTTTCAGGCTTTAGGCATATGATTCACGGTGGAAGGGTTTCAGTCTTCTTCACTTGGTCTGGTCGGTCGCATGACGGTTTGCTGACATCACGAGTGTCGACATGTGCGAGTGCCTGGCAGCGTGGTCTGCGTGGTCTGCAGCGCCAAGGGTTGACACTAAAGTTGCGACTGTTGCGATGATCACTATGTTATTACTATTACTATTCCTATCACTATTACTATTGCTATTACTATTACTATTATTAGTATCATCATTGTAATTGTTAGTATTGTTCTTGTTGTCATGAGCAACTTATCCTCACCATGTTCCTTTCATGAGCTTCTCTCCGGCAAGCCAAGGAGCAAGTGCATAACATAGCGGCCTTTGTGACTCTTACAAGGGAGTGACATTGGGGTAGAACATACGTGATTATACTATGCTAGCACAAAAAGACATGTAAGGAATGGTATTACGAATTTGTCGATCCCTGAACCATTGATGCTGCGAAGTCCTACGAGTTCGACCTCCAGGCTAGAGTCTAGAGCTGAACTCTCGGGTCTAGGGTTCAGGGTTTACGGTTTAACTCCAAATCTCATAAGGAACCTTAGGGTTTAGGGGAAGGGGGGAGGGTAGGTGACGACACTTCCTCAAATAGGCCTTTTTGGATCCTTATTATGGGTATTAAGGCCGCCTACCCCCTCCACCCCCTCCCCCCCTACCCCCCCTAAATGTCCTTATGACAACTGTAACTCTGCTTACAAGTTCGGACTGGATCGCAAAGATTAGATGTCTTGTTCCCTGGACTAGCGACTCCTGACGTTGAGGGCCAGCCCTTTCGATCTTGGACTAAAACCTACAGGCAGCAATGTATGTTGCACGAATCAGACACATGTACCCTCGCCTCAATACGCAGCTACTGCCTAATCCAAACTTAGGGGTTAGTTTTTAAGGGTTTAGAGCATGGATTAGGAGGTTTTGGGGCTTGGGGTCTATCCCCTCAGCCCCAAACCCCAACTGCTAAACACTAAACCCTAAATCCTGAACCCTAAACCCTAAGCCCTAAACCCTAAGCCCTGAACCCTAAACCCTAAACCGCCCGAGCCTCGACCCTGCCGGATAGAAAGATACCGCTTATTCTGGTCGCCTACGTCCTAGGCCCTAGCAAAAGCCTAATTCCTTAAAGCTTGGCAATGTTTAGGGCTTCGGGTTTTGGGGTTTAGGTAAGGAGCCTGAAACCTATAAGCTTCCAGACTTCAACCCCAAAGCTATCCTAAAAACCCCAAGCCTATAACCCTAAACCCTAAGCCCTGAACTCTGAAACCCTAAAGCCCGAAGCTGAATCCTAACACTGAACCCCCCTACCCCCGTACTTCAGGCTGGCGGGGTTGAGGGAGTTTTGGGTTTAGGGCCGGTTGAGGGTTTAGGGGTTTAGGGTTTAGGGTTCAGCGGCTCCGATCGCTTAGGTTCAAGGATTGTCTGTATTTTGGCTCTGCGCGTGGGGTGGTAAGGATTCGAAGACTCTACAAAACCCTTGGGGTTTAAGACCCAGGGTTTACATCTTAAGCACTAAACCCTAAACCCCTAAGCCGTTTAAGATCCAGGACTCAGGTTTCAGGCTTTTCCAAAACTCACAGCTACACGAAATTTCGAAACACTCCTGAAACCCTCAACCCTAAACTGTAAACCCTGGACCCCTAAACCCTCCAGACCCTAAACCCTCAACCCCTAACCCCTGAACCCCAAACCCCTAAACCCTAGACCCCTAAACCCTAAACTCCTAAACCCTAAACTCCTAAACCCTAGACCCCTAAACCCTAAACCCTAGACCCCTAAACTACTGGAGGAAGGAGCCTATAGTTCTGCGCGTAGAGCTGCTCCCCTAGCCTCGTAAGCAGAGAGAGTTTTCGGAGTTTTGCTCTGGGAATCTCCGTCTTTACGTTTAGGGCCTGGGGGTTTAAGGCTTTAGAGTTTCGGGGTTTAGGGGCTTAGGGTTTAGGGGTTTTAGGGGTTTAGGGGTTTAGGGGTTTAGGGGGTGTAGGGGTTTAGGGGTTTAGGGTGGTTCTATTGGGAGAAGGGCCTTGGTAGTTGAGAATCTTTAAGAGGCTTTGTTTTGAAGGCCTTCTTTCTGACTGCAGTGGGGAAAACGGGCCACTACAACCCTCGGCACGATTAGCTCTTTCAGTGCTTTCGCTGCAGACGAAAGTTTCGCTGTCTCCGGTAAAATAGAGCCCTTGATAGTGGAACTGGGTTTTTCTTCCAAGCAAATCAATTCATACAGCTGTTGAATAGTTTCAACTTAAACTATAAGAACCCCCTAAAGGTCAAGAGTTTATCAGTTCGATGGTTAAAGGATTACGAGGGTCCAGAGAACTCGCGCTCCAAAATTGGGCTCGGGGTTTACAGGGCCACATGGGGTTTCTATGAGTTTGGAGCCTAAGGACATCATCCATCGCTTGTAAGGGCCCTTGCTCTGTGTGTGTGGGTGTGTCTGTGTGGGGGTGTGTGGTACCCTAAACCCTGAACCCCAAATACATGGTTTCTGCGTGCATGTGTCTTTGCCGGCCTGCAGCCCCGTGAGCCCAAAGTACCCAGAGGGATTAGGGCAGTCTCAAAAAAATCACCCAAAAGGCTGAAACCCTCAAGCCCCACAACCGAACACCAAATTGGAACATCCTTAATTCAAGCACAGAACTGTCAAAAAATTGGTCGAGCCCGAATGAACACCTCAAAGGCCCCGTAAACCCGAATTCCGGGGCCTCAATTTACTAACACGGGATTTTAGGGGGCTTAAAGGGGCAGGAAGTATAGCAACAAACCCTCGGGGATGACTCCGGCAATTGCGGAACCATGCAGGCTTCCATGTAAAGCCGCAAAGTTCGTGACCCCGAACCCCTAAACGCAAACCCTAAAAGCTACAAACTGAACCCCCCAACCCTAAACCCTAAGCTCTAAACCCCTAAACCCGCAAACCTTAAATCCCAAACCTCCAAAACGCTAGAAACAGCAGCTGGGGCCCTGCACTGCTGCTTCTGCTGCTGGGCAGGCAACTTCTGAAGTGCCTCTTTGTTTTCTCTAAACTTGTTCAGGGTGTAGGGGTTCAGGGTTCATGGTTCAGGTTTTAGGGTGGTTTAAGGTTCTGGGCATGTTTGCTCTCTCTCTCTCTCTCTCTCTCTCGCATTCTCTTAAGTAATGACGTTCTGTGTGCTCCTCTTGGGCTCTTGTTTCTTTTCAGTCGGCGACCCCTGCGATGCTCCAGCCGGCTGTTTCACATCTCTTACCCCCCTAACCCCTAGGTTCCTGAATAGCTCCTTGAAATACGGGTATCCTTTGTTCTAGTATTCAGTTTGAATAAAAGGGGGCCCGGAAAGGCCCGGACATACAACGTGCAAAAGGGTACTGCCCAGGAACCCTGACCCTAATCCCGAAATCAATGTGGACAGCTCACGTGCGGTTTAGAAAACCCTAAACCCTAAACCCTAAACCCTAAACCCTACAGCCAAACCTAGGCGACAATGCTAAACCACAAGCTCGACACTCTAAACTTTAAACCCAGAGGCCCCTTCTGAAGATCCTAAAGACACCCTTACAATGCCCTTACAGCGACCCTTATGACAGCTTATAGCCCCAACCCTGAACCCAGAACTCTAAACCCTAAACCCCAAACTCTAAACCCTAAACCCTAAATCCCAACACCCCAAACTCTAAACCCTACACCCTAAACTCTAAACTCTACACCCTTAACCCGTGCACGAAGACTCCCCGGCCTCCTTGTTCAAAGCTGCTGGGGGTGCTGCCACCGGCGGTGGCGCCTCAGACCATCGAGCCAGGATTCGGGGGGACCCTTGGAGATAATGTAGGGGCCATAATAATCAGAATAGGGTTCCTTTAAAGCATCCTATAAGGGCTAATATAAGGGTACTATATAATGTAGGGGCCTTAATAATTAGAATAGGGTTTTGGGGCCCATATTGCTATAGTTATAATAAGCACCCCCCCCCCCAAAAAAAAAAAAAAAAAGCAACGCTAATCATTTAGGCCCCTAATTATAGTAGACCCTCTCAATAACAGCTCTTTTTTGCGAGAGCCGAAAGTAGGGTTTAGAAGGGTGCCTCTCTTAAGGGGTCTCCCCAATACCACCTAGCAAGACCGTGAAGGTATTTCAGAGGGACTCATAGGCCTCCACGGGCTTTTAACCATAATGACACCCCGTAGGTCAGACAAAAGTGTAGTTCAGAAGGGCCATGGGGTTTGAAGCTTTCGGGTTGAGGGAGTTGAGGGTCTACCAGTTGGGTACTTCAGGGTTCAGGGCTACCAGTTCTGGGATAGGGTGTGGGGCTTCGGCTATGACTCATCACCAAACCTAAGCCCACACACACACAGAGTAGAACTTTCATGACGCGGCCAAGTTGCTCCGTAGGGCACCTGAGGGAAATTCGGCGGCCGAGGCATCCCGCCGAACCTTTCACAACGCGCACTACTAGGGTTTAGGGCTAAGGGTTCAAGGTTGAAACCAGGGGCCCATAGTATGGGCCCTAAACCTTGGGATCCCCCATAAAAGTTCAACTCTTGCGGCTTAGGGTTTAGGGTTTTGACTCTTACCGCTAAGGGGTCAGGGTTTTAACTCTTGCGGTTTGGGGCGTTAGGGTTGTGACCCTTACGGTTTAGGGTTTAGCGTTTAACAAATGCTTCAAAACCTCTATCCAAAAGAGAGAAAGCCCTGTAAACCTAACAGAAGTGCGCCGGTGCTCCTAGAGCCCAAAATTTCCAGACCCTCCCAGCCGCCAAAATCCACGGTTTAGCGTCTGGG